TTATTTTTTATTATTTCCCATCTTAAAGCATCTTCAAATGGATTGTGGGCCAACACTTCTCTCACCAGTACTAAATCGTTTTCCGATGTAAATCTCAAACGAGTTTTATTATTAAAGTTCATATCGTTCATGATTATAAATTTTAAAATCTTCCGCTCTTAAATCAAAAACACTCTTACGTCTCAAACGATACGATTTAACTGAGATCACAGAACATCTAAATGACTGCGATAACCCATTCCATGATTCGAATGACATTTGCGGAATAGCCCGAATAGACCCGTTCATATACGAGTAAGCTACCTTATTCCAATTATAAGGTCTCCGTATTTTTAAAAAATAAGGTAACACCGTATCCTAGTTCAGCACTATTTCTTACTAAAATATTAATGCGCATGCTTAGCTGTCAAAATAAGGATACCGTATTTGATCAAGCCTTTGGCGATAACTCTCTATTACCGTACATAAAAGTACGGTATTTACATAAAAAGTACGGTAAACGTACGGTATTTTCAACAGAATTAGCAAAGACTTTGAGTTGTGCAAGGACCGACTCCATTAAATTACTTAATGAAGATTACAATGACATTTTCCAAAGTAAAAATGCCATTTTAATCTTTTTACAGCACATGTTCTTCAAAAGGACCTGGTCTGCACAAAAATATAAGCGAACTTCTTTTTTTTTTTAGAAGCTAGGTTAGAAGGACCAGAGGATGATTGAAATAATATGATAAGGACCTTTTTTCTTTTTTTTTTTAGAAACCCGACAAAAAGATTTATACAATATAGTTTTTTTTTACAAAATAAAAGTGTACGGTACTGGGAGGCCATGTACGGTAATTTGAATTGCGCGGTACGGTAAATGGAATTTGAAAAGTTGGCAACCCTGGTCCCTATTCATAATGCGTAATCTTAGATAAAAGAGACCAGAGATATAACATACACCGGTTTTAAACCTGCGCAAATGTTGCCAATTTCTAAAGAAGGGTTAACGGAGTGGGGGAACTGGGCGGCGACACGCTGCGACCCGAATTCTGTGACAGGGACCGGACTTTGTTTATTAGCATCTTAATGAACTATTAGGTTTATTTAAAAGGTGTTTAATCGAATTTTGTATTATAAAATAAAATTAACGTGATTTTTTAATATCAAACCGATGCCACGACATTTTATGTAAAGAGAAGACCTTTTATAGAATATTTCGTTAGCGTTTATTTACTACGGACTTTTCTGCAAGAGATTACAGTAAAATGTTGAAATAGAATATATTGTTAATAGAGCAAAAAATGTTACTCATTGTCTACGAGTATTATAAAAATAGCATGTGCGCAGGCTAATACTGCAAATCTACCCTTATGAGTTGAACATTATATTTTTTCTACGGCTATTACATATTATTAAAAATTAGTCAAAATGAGAAAATGCTGTTTTGTATTGTAACCTCAGAAAAAAGTATATTGAGGCTTCTTTCTTTAAGAATATTAATTATTATAAAGGATGAGTCACATAAAACTCTAGAAATGCATATGTCTGAAACCAGATAACATTTTAAAATTTAAATCTATTAAAAGTCATTTGGTCGCTAGGGATGAGTGATTATCGAAATAAATTATCGATCATTGAAAATAATCGATTATTTTCGATCAATCGATTATTTTCAAACAATATATTTTTTGTCATTTCCTTTAAAAACGACTACTTGATTATCTTTGAAAAATCAAAAATAATCGATTAATTAAAAAGCCAATTAACCGATAAATCAGTGTTTACAAAATATAATATAAATAGAATTATCGTTTATTTTAAATAATCGATTATTTTCAAATAAACCATTTTTTTTTCGTCCATGGAAACAGATTATCTTTAAAAAATCGAAAATATTCGATTAATCAAAAATAATCGATTAATTAAAAAGTCGATTAACTGATAAATCGATTTAAAAAAAAACAGAATGATCGATTATTTTAAATAATTGATTATTTTCGATCAATCGATTATTATCAATAATCTATTTTTATTGTATTTCCTTTAAAATCGTTAATTCGATAATCTTTGAAATACCGAATATAATCGATAATTCCAAAATAATCGCCTAATCGAAAATAATCAATTAATTAAGAAGCCGATTCTATGATAAATAGATTATTACCAATAATCTATTTTATTGTATTTCAAAAATAATCGATTAATTAAAAAGTCGATTAACTGACAAATCGATTTTCAAAAAAACAGAATGATCGATTATTTTAAATAATCGGTTATTTTCGATCAATCGATTATTATCAATAATCTATTTTTATTGTATTTCCTTTAAAATCGATAATTCGATTATCTTTGAAATACCAAAAATAATCAATAATTCCAAAATAATCGCCCAATCGAAAATAACCAATTAATTAAGAAGCCGATTCTATGATAAATCGATTTTCCAAAAAATAAAACGAATTATCTATTATTTTCTAATAATCCTTTTTTCATATTTCCTTTGAAATTGATTATTCGATTATCGAAAATAATTGATTATTAAAAAGCTGATTATCCATAAATCGATAATTTTAAAAAAATAACAAAAATATCGATTATGTAAAATAACCGATTATATTCAATCGATTATTTTCATATAATATCGAAAATAATCAAATAATTGAAAAACCGATTAAACGATAAATCGATTATTTTGAATAAATCTACTTTTTTTGGATTTCCTTTAAAATCGATTAATACATTATCTTAAAAAAAACGAAAATAATTTATTAAAAACAGCGGATAAATCGATTTTCATTAAAAAATATCAGAATTATCGATAAATCGATTATTTTTGTAACCCCTATCGGTCGCTTGCTTTTATCTGAGCATTTAGCTCCAAAATTTAGAGATTCGGATTTTTTGATCCAGTTATCTTTGAAATCGCATTCGATTGTATAATAAATAAATATTGCTAAATTTTGGATTTTTTTTAGTAAACGAAAATTATGTTCGAGTTGTTTAGGGGTTTGTAATGTAACATTTTATTAACGTGACTAAGGGTCGATTCCACCGTTGTGTTAAACGAAGTTTAAAATGACATTTTTACATTAACACTGTCATTTTAATCTCCGTTTAACAAAACGGTGGAATCGGACCTAACTCCTGTAACTTTAGTATTTTTTTTTGCTTATACTAGATTACTTTGTTTTAAGACTGAAAATTCAATGTCACTTTCGATTTGACCGCAAATAAGATGAACCTTGAAATTTTAAGTAGGTCATCCTGTATTTTATCTAATATTCTTATAAAAATACCTTATAAAAATAAAATTTTGCTAGCAACTATGATTCTTTACCTCTTATTTATCTACCAAAAAGGGCTAAAAACTACCTATAGAAAACATTCTTATAAAACTACTTTTTAAATACAAAATTTCGTTAGCAATAATGCCTATTTACTATTTATTTAAATTAAATGTTCAAAATTTTACCCTTTCGTAAATTTATGTAAGTAATATGAAATCTGATTTCTGATGCTTAATATTTATTGAAACCCCTTAATGCGGATCTGAAGTATTCAGCCCAGAGAATCATGGCGCTTTATGTCAAAACGTTAATAAATATTTACCGCTGAAAACGAATATATTCATAACAGTAGTACTTGTATTATAAGTACATACAATTTTTCAAGATACATCGTGACATTTTGAACTTGAAATTGAATAACTAGAACACTATAAATTGCTAAAATACCAACAAATAAATCAAAAAACAGCTGTCAATGGTGATTAAACTCAGGTGGAGGTGATCGCTGAATGGAAATCGGAGCAATTCGGGTGGCGTCGTGCAACAATGATTTTTAATTGGTGGGTTACTTTGGCTTAAAATAGACAACATGCGTAGTGTGCAATGTTACATCTTCGGTCTCTTTAATCTAAGTGCGTAATGCATAAAAGTTAAAAGTTGGCCAACTTTGTGAATTGTCCACTATCTACTAAATTGTACATTATCCACTATGCGTTGTATAAACAGAAGTATTTAATTTTTAAGTTTTAATAATTATAAATTGTGAATTAAAGTTATGCATTATGCATTAAGACCTTTATAGTTGCTACATTTTAGAATAGAAAGGTCAAAATTTGACTAAATGTTAACTTGAAAGATATCAAGTGAGATTTTGAAATTCTAAATAAAGTTTTAATTTAATTAATTGTCTGATAGATCATAATAATAGGTAAGTGTGAATGGTGATGAATGGATGCTTGGTTTAATTAAGTTAGGAGATAGGACATTTTTCTAATGTTCAAAAATTTGAAATTTGTTAGAAACTAGAAACTTTTGTATTTACAACTTGTCTATTTAAAAAAAATTAATATTTTTTTACAGGGTGATACAACTGACAATAATAATAAATATTCACACAATATTAACTAATTATATAAATTACAGGTAAGGTATTTTATTGTTGGAATTGTTGTTGTTACTATTTAATAAATAAACTAAACGAAATAAAATACATTTAATAAATAAATAATTAAAAAAAAATAAATTAAGTTTATAAAATATTTTATTTCTTGAACCGACATCACTGGGAGAAGGAGAATCTGTTCTTAAAAAGGTCTTAAAATATAAGCTAGCCAAGGTAAGTTAAGTTGTGAATTTTAAATTGTGAGGTTATGTAGTAATAGTGAAAATCATAACACTATATATTTTTAAAATCGGCTCAAAAAACCCATTGTGATTCGGCATCTACTCAATGAGACCTACAAAACACAGAATCCAATAATTTTGAAATTAAATATTTAGGAAACCATTTGAGCTATGAATATGCGGTTTACGGCATTGCACTTTTCTCATTGAACTCTAAAATTGTTTGAAGCAGTTTAGAGGTGCTGATAGCCCCATACATAATATACCTCGACTTCTAGTGCTCTAACTTGAGGCCATTAATTACTCTTTATGGTTTGTATCAATGATTTATTAATACGAATTTATATTTAAGTTGTTAATTAGACAAATATGATAAAAACTTACCATAACTATTACATAAGTAGGTGAAACACCATCACAGTGCCTATGAAATGACGATGCAGAATATCCATGACTGCTCGATCTATAAACCAATCTCCAATTCTGCTTATTGTTGCCGAACCAAGCGTTTAAGATCCTCTGAAAGTGGCTTTTGTCCTGTCCTAAAATCAGCGATCCAGGAAACATGTGTGGGGAAATCCTGGGTTTAAGACGTTGATCCTCTGAAGCTTCTGGATATTTGCTGGGCAACGCTGCATGTCGGTACCTTTCCAGACTGAGTTCCATCGGTACAGCGCCTGTGGGTTCTACTTCTTCAGCAAAAACTTGGCTGTCTACAAAGAGTATATCGTTGAAAGTAGCAAATTAATAGTTTCTATTAACGAGCGTTACCTATCAGTAAAAGTCGAACGTGATTTATAACTAGAGATAAATGTTGGCAAACCCTGGCTCGTTCTTCTTCAGTCCAATGTGGTGTAGGTTGTGTTACACCCGCTTGATATTTAGCCCAATTAAGAACTGCTCTCCATACATCTTCTTCTTCCAAACATAACTGTGAGAGAAATCATAAAACTAATGTACAGTATCTGTTTCATGCTTAGCTCAAACCAGTTTAAAATTTATCAAATAATAATAGAGGCTAAATTAAGAGAATACGTAGAATCAAAATTAGAAGATGAACAAACAGCTTTCAGATGAGGAATACAGACAAATTGTAACATATGTATCTTGAGAAAACTAATGTAAAGAACGTTAGAATAATTATACTGTCACAAATCCCAAAAATAATAATAATTTTTCAAAGTAAATTAAAGAAAATCAAACAAAATCATTTTATTTTTAATTCAGAATTTTATTTAGTCAAACATACATAATTAAATAAATTTAAAAACGATTACAAAATATTGCTGAGTTGCTAATATACTTAGGAAATTATTATTTAACGAAATTATATTGCTCCATTAAAATAATGAAAAAATAATGTCAGGTCATCAACCACGTAAGTTTGATAAACCATGAAAATTTTGCAAGCCGGCAATATTCAAAAAATTGGGTATGGAAATTAAACAAGGAGGTGAACTCGATAGCGAAGAAAGTGGACTCGAAAAGAGACTAAGGTAAAGAAAATGGGGGTAACAGTAAAATTAATAAAATAGCTATTTTGCATAATACCAATATTCCGCAAAACGTTTTCGTTATGCGTTTTGGGAAGAATGTGACGTGCCCAGAGCCTACGAAACGATGTGGTAAGTGTACCAAAACATTATTAACAATATTGTTAAATTATTGAGGTGTGATTGACAATAAATTGTATATTGTTATATATTTGTATTTTATTTCAAAGACGAAACTGGTACAAAAACACGACTTCGTGACAATACCTACCATTCATTGACCTGAGAGCAGCTTTCGAAATAGTAGAACGAGAAAAAATATGGAAAGATTTGGAGGACTTGGAAGTGTTGAAAGCTCTAAATTAACAAGACATATCAAACTGTTAAAGCAAGAGTAGAGATAGGAGTTTTTAACACGTTCAAGACATCGTGTGTCACATGAGGTTTTTTAAGTGAACATCCGTACCCACCAGTGGATCACAGTGTTATGCTAGAGGGCTTATGTATTTTTAAACACTATGTTTAGTTTAAATGATGTTATTATTATTGTATCTACAGTTATAAAACATGTATACATTGCTCGGTACAGGGTGGTTTGGCAATTTGGTTTACTAATAGTTGACAGAAAAGACTCGAGTAAGGGATGTTGTCCAAAACTCTTGAGAAAGGCGAAACTTGAGCAAGAGCTGTTGACCGAACTCTTGCTTTGGGATCTTATAGATCCCTAAACACCTTAATGTGTAAAGTTATTATCTTGGTTTTTAATTTAATTTATCGTTTTTATGTGCCACTGGTGAATGAATGTTCCTTCCGGACTCCAGTACCCTTTGGCTGGTGACAGTGTTGCCTTCATCCCTTAATAGTATATTGACAACAGTAGTTAAAGATCTATCAGTTGTTACACATGGATCTTTAGACTAAGTTGGTTGTTACAGAAGAACATTTTATTAAATACGTTAACACATAAAAATGATCTAGTATAACTCGTAAACACAAATAAAAAAATAAAAATCCGTGAAAATGTCTAAAACAAGGAATACACATTATGTTCACTCTTGCTTACTTGTTACCTTTTTCATTCTGCATTGTCTTATGGCATTCTGTGTAACGTTTTTATTACTAGTCCTAGCCAACCCTTCATATACTTTCCTCATTTTATTTTTCTTCTCTGTTCAGGATTTTCATTCTCAGCATTCTCTCCCTTATCTATGTCCCATTTATATCTAGAGTTGCAAGATGTCCCACTTTAGGTGTAATAGCCACACTTTTTAACTCCACATGTCATGCCAAAATACTAAAATGCCACCCTTTTTACTGAAATACCATGCTTTTTACTGAAATGCCACGCTTTTTACTAAAGAAAAATGACCTGTTTTATAATAATATTAAGAGAAAAAAAAAATTTTTTAACCTGCACAAAAAAACTGTTTTTACAAAAACACCTGCTTCTTCGTCTGATCCCTGTCCCTTTTGTAACTCTGGCAACACTATTTATATCCCTTTTTTGCAAAAATAACCCATTTTATCAACTGCCCACCGAGTCTTGTTATTCCTGTATTTAAAACCGGTGATAGGTGTGATCATACCACAGCTACCTAGGGGTTATTATTGATACAAATTTACAATTTAAGGAACATGCTAATAACGTTATCAAATGCATATCATTTAAAATAAACTATTTGAGGCGCTGTTCTCCACATCTCAGCAAATATGCTAAAATGATAATTTATAATACTCTACTCATTTTAATTATTGTGTCACTATATTGTATTTGCTCAACCAGAATGAGTTGCAACGATTGCAAAAGTTGCAGAATAGAGGTATGAGAATAATACTGAGCTGTTCGAGATTGGAACCAATCAATTCCATGTTGAATGTGCTTCAGTGGTTGCCTTTTAGAAAATATTTGCTATTCTATTCCCTGCAATTTATAAAGATTAAATCAGGAATCTCCCCAGTATGTTTACAAAATATTTTAAGTTATAATCAGGATGTTCATGAACACAATACACGAAATAAGAAAAAATTTAGAGTTTATAAGGCCACAAAAAAATTTACACAAAATTCAGTGTCTTTTAAAGGTGTTCAGGCTTTTAACAATTTGCCTGAATATAGTAAATGTTCTTCAAAGGCGGCAATATTAAAAAAAAACTGAATGAGTACTTGCTGACCAGTTGACTTTTTCTTTTCTTGTTTTTTTTATTATGTTTTGTATAGTTGACATGTAAGTGTACTGTATCTCATGTATTTTTTATTGTATTTTAAATGTATGTTGATTCTATACTTATGTATTTTTTATATTTTAAATGTGAAGATGTATTGACATGTAAAAAATAGTTTTTTGACTAAATAAATGATTTATATATTTAATTGCCTTGGTATTGCAGTAATATTATTAATCAACAAACATGATTTTACTGTGGGTAGATCTACAGTTACCAATCTGATAATCTATTCAACAAAATATTTTTTCTAAATTTTATGAAAATATGCAAGTTGACACAATATGTATTCTGATTTTTAGTAAAGGTTGTGAACACTTTACTGTTATTTAAATTAGAAAAACTTGACCTTTCTGGCTTGGAAGCTATTTAAAAAACAGAGCTCAAACGGTGAGGATAGATATTAGTTTGCCCAACTTACTATATACATATTAATGATACAAGCTATTTTTCAACATAGTAATTTTTGCTGATAACCTAAAGATATATAGGGTGTCCAGAAATTGCATGAACAAGGAGTTACCACAGATTTTTGGAAGCCATTTTAGAATATCATACTTGGTATGAATACTAAGTGTTTTATGGACAATTAAAAGTAGCAGGAACAATTTTTCTATTGCGACCATAAGCGTTTCATTAGGGGGATGACATAGGAAACTATGGAGTTTTTATTCAAAATAGTTACTCTTGTTCGTAGTTGATACGATGTATCATTTTAGAAAAAAAAAAGGATTTGAACTTTTCATATTACCATGCTTGACATCATTAACATCCCTAGTTAGTACTATATATAAAAGATGGTAGGTATCAATGAAATAATGTTTATTATATGTGGCATATACAGATGCTGCCTGTAGGAATCTTTAGGTGTTGAAGGCACCGAAAATTTCATTATTTTATTTCATACTACTCATGCAATAAAAATCAATATATCTTAAGAATCTTTCATGTTACTAACATAGTTGAAGAGTAAAATTCTTTAAATATTATTTATTTTGAGATAGCTAGTGATATTAAAGAAAAAATGACTTAAACCTCCCAACTATACATTATCTTTAATGTTGTATCCATTGAATTCAAGATGAAAATTTTATCCATACTTACATAGTCTGAGGAGATCACTTTGATTACAGCTTCTTTAGGAAGACTCAGAAATGAATTTGTACGAACACATTCCACAGCATTTTCTCCAATAAAGCTGACGCATCTTTCTACGAAGCCTGTGGCAGCTTTACCACCTACAAATTGTAGGAACTATACTTTTTTAATTCAAATTTGTATTAATTTTTTTAGTTATAGTATGTAATAATTTGTTCTCATTAGTATTAATTTTAACCAACAAAACACATTATTGTAATAGGTTTGCAATTAAATCACACTAAACTTTATACGAAAATTGTCTTTATTACAGAAAAATGAATATGAAACCTTAAATTACACTTAGAAATTATAGTAAAACCAAACGGAAAAAGTTTGGTTATATTTATGTTTCGGGCTTCACATTCTGGATCACAGTTATATTGTCCCCTTTCAGCATAATTCTTCCCAACTGCCTCCTGTTTTTAGTCTTCACGTAAACTTCCTCTGCATCGTCTAACACTAGATTCATGTACTCATCAAAGCCGACGATGTGCCCCTCGATGCGTAAATGTATGTTTTCGTACAACCAAACTTGCACTCTCGAACGGTTTTGTAGGTATCGAAATATAAGGTTGATAGGTTGAACCATCACCTTTTGAACTTTTTGCGGTTTATAAGCCATTTTTAGTTTTTAAAATTTACAGTTTATAACCAAAAACTACTTTTGTAATTTCTTTCTTAAAAAGACGTCAAACGTCAACAAACGAAACGAAAACGTTTTGTCTACTAATTGTAGCCAATCGTAAGAAAAAAAAAGTCCTAATTCAGAGGCCTTTTACTATATATGGTAATAAACTATTCTTCGTTAATTATTGGTCTTTTCACATAAAACCACCCTAGTAATTATTTTCTTTTTAATCGTTATTTATTACAAATAGATTTAAATTAGTAAAATTTTGGTCCAAATAAAAAAAAAATTAAAAATTTACATCGCAGACTGCATAGCCACTCATGATGAGAACGGAAGAAGAATATCAATATGGCCTTTATCTTATCAGGTTTTCTGTATTATATTAATTGAACCCTAACAATAGACAGATTCGTCTTAAGATAATTTTATGGCCCTATTTATAAAAAACGTTTATTTAATAAGACAAAATTAAAAATTATATGTATAGATATTTAAAAATAAATAAATATATATATATATATTTTTTTAATTATTTAGATTATTTTTACCTGGAGATTTGTCGTGTATATCCATAGCTGAGGACAAAAACGTGCAGGCGGACGGCACGGACAAAGTTGAAGTCACGTGATCTTCACAAGCGTTTCTAAGCTCATCTACGCCTAATTCTTGAGCAAGAGCCATCATTTCAAAGATCCCATTGTCTTGCAGAAGAATCTAAGAGACAATATCGATAAATTAGCACTAAAAATTAGTTTTATTGGATTCTGTTGGTACCTTTCCGGTATACACGTAAAGGAGGAACTGTTTAAAGGTTTCTGGTGCCGATTGGGGCAGTCTAATGGGTGTTGGGGTCCCAGGGGCAGCTGGGGAAACCGTACATCCTGGTATCCTGCATATTTCACCACGTTTAGCGGTTTGGAAACTTCTGCATCTGTAATACGGTATAAGTTAAGGGCAAGTTTTCCATCTCAATACATGTACTTTAAATCCCTTATTTTTTCAATATTTTTGTGCATAAACAAATCAAATAACAGATTGGGCATTTCAACGTTCTATCAAAAATGGTTACCTGAGGTTCTGATGAATCACAGACGTTCGTTTTTAAGTTGTTTTTGTACATAATTAGTTTAAATAACGGTAACTTTGTGCTCTGAGTGGGTTTCATGTTTGATTTTAATAATAGTTTTATCCTTAGCATCACGTAAAAACTAGAGTTACTCGTTTTACGAGAAGAAAAGCTTAGATAAGAAAAGTAAAAGGTATATGATAAAAAGAACATACATTGCAATCTCATGATTGGTGTTTAATATAGGTTTTAGTGAAGTATTTATATGCCACAAATTTGCATAATTGCAATCTGTGAGTCCAACAAGAATAAGGGATGTCTAAAAGTGATACTTTTGTATTATGTCTATGAATTAGCTGTGAGGAGAGTGAAACAGGCCAATATAGATAGATAACCTTGAATCGTTTATTATTTGTGAAAAGCTACTTAAACCATACATGTGTTATTTTTAAACTAGAATAAGGATATATAATAATGTTTGACACTGTTCTATTTCAGCCTACTCGTATTATTAAAAATTATAAATGGGGGTTGTGTTTCATTATGCAATCATTTTAACAGTCAAAAGGTCAAGTGATTTGAAATACCTAATAAGGAATCACATTCATTTGACAGACTTTTCTTCTTTTTATTGTAAATTTAAACTATTTTTTCTAACTTTGACATATAAAGTGACATGTTTTTGTAATTGCAGCAAGTGTCAAAATGATCTACTTACGCAAACAGTTGCATAATGTTGAAAATTATGAAACTGGTTTTGAAAAATTCATTACGTCAACAGTTGTGAAAAGAAAATAAATAAAAATAAACCTTTTTTGATTTTAAAACAATATACATTATTATTGAAAATGTATATCAAAGAAGGACAGGTTGACTTACAGAAAAAGAATAACAATACAAGAAAGTAATATTGGTTGACTAAATGTCAGTAATATTTAACTAAAAGACAGTTTTAGTAAAATTTTAGTCAAAATTATAAAAATATTGTATGTAACACATTACGCAATGCCGTTTTCTATAACTCGTTACATAAAATAAAACATTTCGAGTCAGAATTATTTACCAAAAGTCAGAATTATTTACTAAATTTAAGCCGAATAGCAAACTAACAATAATACAATAATTTTAAGATTTATTTTGAATGCTACATTTAGCTTTTGTTCAGACTTCTCATATGCACAAACATGTCTGTAATGCACTTGTTCACTCTCAAACAGAAACACACATTCTTCTATCGTATATACGCAAGACCTCCGCCTAACATCAAAGAATAATTTTCCAAAGTCATCTTTAATTACGGACCTAAACAAGGATCGTTATAAAACTGGAGGGATCTTATCATTAGCATCATTATGAGAAATAGTTGGAGTAGCAATAAAGTTACGAGGTAGCCGATGCCGCCGAAACAGGAGAGAAAGTAAAGTCTCTCTTGTAAGCAGGATCTCCAGTTCCATTCCTCCTGCAAGACCGTTTGATGTGACGTTTCGAAGATGAGCTCGGGGCTAAAATCTTTTGTCTCGTGCTTGTTGTTCGACATCGCTCTTTCAATTATTTGATGGCGTGCATAGGTGGTGCAATGGGGTGAATTAAAGGATCAAGTGCCCTTGATCTGTAATACCAATATTGACGAACAACCACACATCCTTTTTTTATTAAAAAAAGCGCGTAAAGTTGTCCAAATCGAACAAAGGTAGCCAATAGCACAAACACATTTCGGAAATATTTCAACAATGTTACAATTAAACATTTGCAATGTTGTGTAAATATTACGAAACATCCCAGAAACATTTCTGAAATATGCCTGAAACGTAAAAATGTCCTGTAAATATAATATTTCACAGTAATATTTCCGAAATGAAAATATGAAATCTACAAAATTTCAGAAATATAATCTAGTTTTTTTTCTAATATATTATTAGACTAAAAAAAGATATTTAAAAATATACATGTTTATTTAAAATACACAAAACTCAAAACAAACAAACAAATAAATAAATATGTTTTAAAGAATATTTCATAAAAAAGCGAATTGCTTCATTTCCACCAATTCCTTTAAATGCACTAATTTGAAACAACTAGGTTTTTTTAAATAAATCCTCCAAGTAAAGAAACATTCATGAATATTATAATCTAATCATTAAGATCAATTAGCAATTTTATTTTTACCTACTTATCTAGGGATGTAAAAACTTCATAACCTAAGATTCTACTCACTATATAGTGTACTTTAGAGTCTAATTATTTAGTTACACTACTGTTAATGCTTAACACTTAATCGCACTATACTCTGTTTTAATCTAACATCACTGAACTAACTTAAAAGGTCTGGTTCTCTTGAGTCTTCTTATTGGCATTGTTGAGGAACTGAATAAAAAGGATTTATACAAATTATTTGATTAACAATATTAATTTTGTTTTAAATTAACTATAATAAAACAATTTTCATGTCTAAACAAAACATGAAGATCCACCTAAGCAAGCATTATTTATTTAGTTCTCACATTAATTTCTAAAGACATATTCTGCTTTCCATATAACAAGTTCACAACGCATGAATATCAAAAACCAACAACTCAAATCTATAATTATTTAGAATATAGGCTTGTTTCTAGCTGGTGGCTGGACATGGACAATGGACATATGATGAAATAAAATAACTATATATCTCATCTTCTTCTTACAAACCTTTTACAACATAACCCGTTTAGTAACCTTTTGTGTAACATGTGTACCATGTTTCAGAAACATTTTCAGTGAACTATTTCAGAAACTTGTGCTTGAAATGTTATATGTTTAAAACGTTTGAAATATTTCAGAAACACTTCTGAAATAATGTGTGCTGTATGGGCATGGACTAATTACCAATTTAGAATTTGAAATATTCACCTGATTTGATTTATTCTGATTATCATATTTTTTTCAAAATCCGAAAGGTCATAAATTTTATACTAGATGAGGTGAATATATGATGCTTGGTTTAACGAGCAAAATTAATTTTTATTTTTGTAGGAAAAGAGAATAAATATGACATGACAATAATAAGGAATGGACCGCACCCAGACAACACACCAAATCCCAGAGATATCCACAGAATATCTTTTGTGGATATCCAATACATCCAGAGGATATCGTAGATATCCCGTGAATCTAATATGGATATCCAAATGTCCGTCTATATCCAGGATATAGAAGATATCCTATGGATAGCCAGCAAAATATCTAATTGGTATCTCCCAGACAATACACGAAATCCCAGAGATATCCACAGAATATCTTTTGTGGATATGTAATATATCCACAGGATATCATAGATATCCAGTGGATTTAATATGGATATCCAAATGTCCGTCTACATCCAGGATATAGAACATATTCTATGGATATCCAGCAAAATATCTAATAGGTACCATTATGGTAGAGGTTCATAAGTAACCAATGGATATATTCTATAGATGTTTAACATATCCAGTGTACATCCATTATTTGATATATTTAAGATATCGAAAATTATATGCCTATAGGGTGTCGTATTTAATGCTTCATTTTTTTTTTTAAAGATAAGTTGAACAATGTACTGCATAATCTAAAAACATTCCATATGAAGAAAATCAGCATTTCAGTAACATAACATCGGAACGCCCTGTATTTTTAATTTGGTATATACATCCATACAAAGTTTACTATTCTAGTGTTAACTACTTTTTATGCTACACAGCATAGGTATAGCATGTAGAGTAGAAAGAGTATCAACATTTTATTTTTACAATTATATACTATGCCTAAAAAAACACCAAAATATCATTGAATATGTGAAATAAGTTTTAAACTGAATATAACGCACGAGTTATCTAACATATAAGCATCTTACAAATAAATCGTATTCCTTATTGTTGTTATATTAAGTAGGTAGGTAAAACAAAGACAAATATTATGAGCAGGCTAAATATATTTAAAAAAGTAAACTATAGTACAAACATACTATTATATTAAATAACATATTACATTTAGGGCCAATCTTTTCATCTCTGAGTAAAGTTACGTTTAAGTTTACTTCAGAGATTAGATCATAAAAGCCCTATAGTTTAATCAGCAAGTAGTTACCTTCAACTTTACTCGGAGGTGAAAAGATTGGCCCTTAAGCTAACGAATTAACATAGTACTCGCAGTCAAGGAAAACCTAAACCTAATCACACATACACACACACACATTATATTGGCGCCGCAAGTTCAAATGGAATTTTCTTCCTGAAAAAAAAAAAGACGCTCTGTTGTAGAATTCCTCAAAAAGTGAAAATATATATATTTAAATCAAGCTATACCCAAAACGAAAATGAAGTCTAAATAAAAGCCTTTTGTACAGGGTGTCACTAATACAATATATAACACTAACTAATAATTTAAAAGGGCTGAATCTGTGTATATATTATACTTATTTATCTAAAATCTAAACTGTTGGTTCAGCTAAACATAACCTAACCTTACTTGTTAAATTCTTCATGCATGCTATTGAATACAAGGCAGATGTAATAAGATTACCTTAATCAGTGAAAAAAATACCTCTTTCTAATTAATTATAACAACCAATAAACAATAAAAACCAAACACGTAATAAGTAGGTATATGAAGGTAGGTAAAATAACATCCATCTTAATTATAATAAAATAGGGTATTGTAAAAACTGAGGTAAAAACGAAATGAATTTCTAGTTGTGAATTACCTAAAAAGGACACGGATTTTAACGTACATTGCATACAACCTACTTAACAATCTTAATAATGTGATTTTAACCATTGTTTTATTTAACTAAAGTCTATCAACCTTTTTCACTAATAAATTTAGGTTTTAAAGCTTACTTACCTCCTTTTAATCCAAAATTATTAAATGAAACTCATGTACACGACACAAACAAAACGGAAACAAACTATAAAATGGCCGGTGGCACCTGTGAGCTGTGAGAGCAGAAAATATCCGCGCCTGCGCTCGCGCTCATTGCCAATATTATTTACCTAGCGGATATCTGTGGGATATTGAATACAACTTACTAATTTTAAATTTCTATAAACCATACCTACATACTTTCTTAAGTTATCACATGGCGTAATATTTAAGTAATTTCATAATTATATAAATCAATTCACATTTTTTCCAATATTTAGATACATATTATATCCATAAATTACATCTAGTGGATATCTACCATGGTTTGCGTTCCCGCCTCGACTTTGATATATTTAGTGGATATCCATGGGATATTGAATACACCTTGAAATAAATTTTAATTTTAAATATCTAAACGGTACTATTAGCCACAATGGCGTAATTTTTTAATAATTTGTTATATAATTACTATTATTTATGGACATTTGCATGTCTATAAATTACATTTCTTGAATATAAAATAGATATTCACCATAGACTGGACATTCAGTCGATATTGGGATGTCCACTAGATATCCAAAGGATTTGGTGTGCCGTCTGGGAAATATCCATGTGAGCGTAGAAAAAAATATTTTCGAAACCATTCGATTGCGTATTATAGTTGCATCCTGTATAAGGGAAAGCTCTCTAAATTAGAAATTTAGGCTTCGACTAAACAGTCATCCAAAAAATTGATTGCCAGCAAGTTGATTTCGACGGTGGAATATTGCTAGGAAGTCGAAGCGTTCTTTCCGGACGAAACTTTCAAACTCCACTGTCATCCGGAAATGAGTCTTTTCATTACTGACTCTTATTGACACGTCAGATATTCGGGACGGATATTTAGGTTCTTTTACCCCGACCCAGGTCCTACTTACGGGGATTCTTCGATAAATAATACTAGGTAGTTTTTTTATTATTTAAATCATTATAACAAGCCATCGAGAAAAATCATGATTGGATTTAGGCATTCCAATATCCTGTCAGAATGGACAAAAATGGTTGATGCTTGGCGAAAACAAAAGCTTCTTAACCTGACTTTTTCATTAGAATTTGACTGTTATTGCAAATCATGCAATTAATATTCTCTATATTCAAAGTAAATATCTATTTATGCCATTTTTCAACTAAACATACCGAAAGCAACTCTAAATACTCAAAAAAAAAAAAAATAATACAAACGACTATATAATAACCTTACTAGAAGTGGTTTTTTCAAGGGAAGCACGTACTTTTATTGTTTTTGCCAAGGGTCCACCATTTAAAGTCACGTGATTTGGATTGCCTAATTGGCTGTGAAATTTAAATGTTTTGGGTTGGTTCTGTAGCCACTTCCGCATATGATATTGTTACGCAGCACTCTGTAGCGTGCTGTAGTCGTCATAAGTAAAGGTACGAGTAAATTAAGAAGATAGAATATTCCCGAAATGTCTCGAAATGTTATTCCTTGTCAAAGAAAAGTCCAGATTGTTCGAGAACGTTCTAGAAGGTCGAGGCAAGCTATATAAGGCGACAACCTGACGTCAGAGTTTTAGTTTTATGATAGACGTAACATTTGAATGTTATCAGTTAGAGTTATTGTATCAGTTGAATTGAGTTATTGTAAAAGTTGAGTTCAAATAAATTGTGATACCAAAAACCAGCGTAACAATTTTTAACTTTGAAGTTGAATGTTTGTTTCAAATTTGTTAAAAGATTGAAGAAAATTAAATTTAAATATTGGTATTCAACACAGAGCAAAAAGAAAACTATATCGAATGTCTTCCACTGTCACCCTCTATTTGTAAATTTCTTTAAATTTTAACTAATTTGTTAACTTGTTTTCAATTTTGTGAATAGTGAAGGTGACATAATTCTTTAATTCCACACAAGCTAACTTGCTTCTGAAGATCAGATCAGATTTGATTTGTAAGGGCTTATCCCACACTCACTATTCCCAAAACCAGTTTTTTGTCACTTTGTTTGTTTCTTGTAATTGTTAATTTGTTCAAACAATCGTATATATACAATTTTAACTTTTGACTTAAAAGTCTTATTCAGATTTTATAATATATTTTTTTAAATTGTAAGTTTACATCCACAATTTTTGTAGATAAGCACTGATGATGGCAAATAAGCCGAAAGCGCTTTGCATTTATTAATTAAAAAGTTTTGCACGAAATACAAGTCTTTCCTTTTGAACATAATTATTTGATTTATAAATTATGTGAAAGGAAAATTGTTGGCAACAAAATTATTATAATCACTCTATTATCCATTATTAATTGTTATTAAACCAAATGAGTACAATAACACGTCTATACAAAATTGCTTAACGTTGTTCTATTTCTAACTGACAAGAATTCATCGAAATTAAGTTTTAAAAGCCAAAATGTTTGAGTTTATTATTCAAAATATTGTGTATTAGAAAACCTTGGCAATATTTTAAAACGGTAACTATGAACTTATCACTTATTATATAAGTATCGCTTTATTCTAAACTGTTATTATAATATTTGTCTTTGTTTTGTTTTCCAGATCTAACCCAACTATTTAATAAAATGAATTACACAGGTACCTATCTATTATAAAAATTGTTTTTTTAACCCTACTTTCCCAATTATTAAAAACCATAAATATTTAGTGCACAAAATTTAATTAACTTAAAAGGGACTAACAATAAACAGATACTATATTCTATTTTTTATTACCTATATATGCGGTACTCATAATAAATCAATAAAAATAATTTACAAAAGAATCGATATTATTAAAAAATATTAGTACAAAAATTTAGAATTTATAAAACCTATCATTGCAACGTTTATTGAAATTATTTGTGTATAAAAATAATGTATGTTTTTAAAAATATATGTATTGGTCTACTGAAAAATTCATTTTTGACGGTTTTCTATAAACATCTCATATTAGAAACATTGATCCGTTGAAATATCTCAAAACTAATAAAATAATATAAATCAAAAGCATTTCTATTGACATTTATTTGATACGCTACTGGATAATAAAAGTAAACAAACCCCGCTCTTCCCCTCCTAACAACTGGCTTGTATATGTTGCTTTCAAACAAACGCAATGTAAATTTTTGACATTCAGTTATCTATTATTATTTATTTATCTGAGGTTTTAACTAAATACAGGTCATTCAATTATAATTATTAAAAAAGAAGATTTGGATGTTATACTTTGTGATCAATTCAAAATTACACAAATAAAAACTACCATTCTTATTATATTTTTGCTGTTACGACGCTGTAAAAGATTTTAATCAAAATTAAACACAATAGGCACTCACAAAACTAACCAAAAATCCAATTAAAACATAGGAGAAAAAGAAGAAAAATGATTTTAAATAAGCACGCATGCGCGAAAATAAAAGTTCATATTTTAATTAGGAACTATTAAAACTAATAACAAACATGTTATGAACAAGTTTTTAATCTAGCGGAAACACCGAACACGTTCTTAGCTCTACTGGAAGTTATTTTGTACTGCGCATACCCAATATGTTAGGAACTCGCTTCGGGAATAAACCTTTTGTACAATGTTGCTAATGGTTGTTGCCTTTCCTCTGTATTGGTATTGAAACGGAACGGATGTTATGCTGCCAAAAAGGGCTGATGCAAATAATCAAACTAAATAAATTAATAAACGTATTTGACACCTTACCTTTTTAGAATATTGAACTCGTAGGCGAGCGGCACACATAAAACGAAGGCACAAAAATAAAGTGGTGGCGAGCGAACTTATTACTGCGTTGGCGGTACATCGGGATCTCTTGGTTCTTCGAAAAGGCCCAAAGCATGAACCGTTTAGGTGGCGCAAAGTGTCAAAATAGATAACGCGAATTTAAATTAAGAAATTAATACAGAAAATAAATCCATTCTCGAACAGGTATATTGGATTATACATGTACAAACACTAGTGAGAGTATTGAGAGAAACAAACTCTCTGTCAACTTACTCCTGTAGCCAACCAGCCCCGGTCTCCTCTAAATTTTGTTTAAATGATAAGATTTGTTCCTGAAGCGAGTTCCAAACTTGTTACAAAAATTATATCTGATACGCATGCGTGAGCAGAATAATTTCCGGAATGAGTTCTGAATAAATGAGTGCTGGAACGTAAAAAAATAATGTTCCTGCGTGTTTTAACTAAATACAAGTATAATCGAATATTCTTATTTAAAAAGAAGATTTTGAGGTTATACTATATGATCAATTCAAAATTGCACAAATAAAAACTACCCTCCTTATTATATTTTTTGCTGTTACAAATGTACTGAGATGTAGTAAATCTTTGATCACGTGATTCAGTATACGTAAATGTAATGGGACAGATGTGTCCGATGTGGATAAAAAAACGATCGAGATGTAAAAAATGCATCTGATGTGGATTCTCAAACGCGGCAAAAGCTGTATAACATTTTAATCAAAATTAAAGATAATAGGCACTCACAAAACTAACAAAAAATCTAGAAGAAAAATGATTTTAAACAAACACGCATGCGTGAATGTAAAAGTTAGTATTTTATTTAGGAACTATAAAACTAGTAATGAACATGTTATGAACAAGTTTTTACTCTTGCGGAAACACCAAACAAATTCAATTTGTTTGGAACTTTGCTCTGCTGAAACAGTTATTTTGTACTGCGAATACTCAGTATGTTAGGAACTCGCTTCGGAAGCAAACCTAAAATGTCAAGTAATAAATGTCATTCTGTGGAAGTGGCTAAGGTACCAACTCAAAACATTTAAATTTCACAGCTAACTACATTAATAATTTTTCTCAGCGGTTCTTTAATTTTAAATTTAATGCGAATTCTTTACCTTTTTTACCTTTATCTGCAAAAGTAGAAATGTATGTTTTGTGTACGTACCTCGCCATTAAAATAACCCTATGTGCCAACACTCTTTCCTCGTCCCTTCCTAAAATGAAAGCAATGTCTGCCGAATCCGTGTCTTCTGAAAGACGTTGAAGGTCGTCCAGCAGACGAGGCACCCCTGCAAGAGCCTTGTCTGCTGGTAGTCCGGTTCCTAAACCGCCCATTCTTGAACCCATTTCTGAAAATGTAATAAGTATTTAAAATATAAAATTGTATGTTAAGAGTGGAAAGTGCTGCTTGGTGCTTGAGGAGCAGTCGAAAGCAGCAATCGTGCAAAAAAAAGTTCTCAATATCTTTAAAATAAATTAAAATTAAAACGCCCGAAAATTAGTCATTTTCTAAATTTTTTCTAACTGCTGAGTATTAAATAAGTTTGTAATTAAACCCTAAACACAAAAACTAGATTGTATTTGCAATGTGTTGCTAAAAGTAAGCACCAAGAAAATTCTAAATTATTAAAAAAAAAAAACACGGGTTGCACTCCGGGAGTGCCGGCAGAAGTGAAAACTTGAATATTAACGTTGTGCATTTTTGATTTTTTGGAATAGTTAGGGAATAATTTTGAACGAATTGCTTCTATTATCAATATAAAAGTACTATCATTTATGTGGTAGAATACAATATTTATTGCGCTATCATACACACACATTACAATTTATGTTACATTAAATTACATTGTATTACATTAAAAAGTTTATCTCTCAGAAAAATCAACTTACATCCATAATTTTGATGACTTTTTCACCATCATTATTACCAGAACCATCATCGCCAATCTCTAAAACTGATACGATAGGTTTATGATAGCTGAAGTAAGAAACGAACAGTTTTGATTCGAACCTATTTAAATGTCTAATAAAGACCGCATCAATAGTAGTTTTGTACTTCGTTGTGCTAAGATTGCGATCATTTGACATAGTTAAACCAAATTCATTATTTAAAAATTCAATTAATAGTTGATTTTTATCGTCTGCAAAGTTTATGTTGAAATCTCCACTCAAAATCATTGGCAATAGACGATAGGAGTATGACGTAATCAACTGCCATTTTGTTATGAAGGTCAGGGGTTACTTTCCAAACAAACTTTCATTAGCATTCATTGTGTCATAAGAAGATTTTTAAAATATTGTTTAGTAGCTATTCTGATATTTTTGTACCCGTAAGTACGTTTTACATATAACTACATTGGTTTACTACATATTTGTTGTAATATTAGGTCTATTGTGTGAATATAACATTAAATTTTGACAAAATTAGTAAAGCTAGGTTAGGATAATAATTTTATATTTGTGTTTTATTTTTACAGTTAAAATGGTAATGTGTTTCGCGCCAGATTGTAAACATTACAGTGAAAGAGAAGGTTGTAGATTCTTCGGCTTTCCAAAAGATTCTGTAGAGAAAAAGCGATGGATTTCATTAATTAGGTAAATATATTTAAATGATAAATCTGGATGTTTTATTAATTTTTAATCATTTTTAGACGCAAGGATAGAGAACCTTCAGCACACTCTTTGGTTTGTTCTTGCCATTTTATAGATGGTGATAGAAAAAATAGGCCAACAATTTTTGAACACAATAAATTGAAGAAACATTTTATTGATGAGGGATCAACTGTCCAACAAAAATCAAAAAAAGCAAAGTAAGAAGATCCTGCATGGATTATTATATTTACTTTAATGAATTACATATTTTAGAAAAGAAATCCAACCGAAAGAACTTTTAGACATACCCACTACTTCTCGTGCAAGGTCACCAAGACCTAGTACATCTCGTGCAAGTCCTCCCAGTTCACCATTAAGAAGTGAAGAAGATGACTGTAGGCCTACTTCTTCCAAAGAGACAGTTCAGTTTAATTGTGCTGCAAGTGTAGAAGCTGAGAATTACTTTTTAAAGAAAGAGCTTAAGGAAGCACATGAAAAACTGAACAAACTAACATCAAGTTTTTCATTTGCACAAATCGAAAATAGTGATGAACAAATTGTTGTTTATACAGGATTACCTTCAAAGGATATATTTATGACTGTATTCAAATTATTGAATTCTATGTCATTGAGTTATTATCAAGGTTGGACTGTTGTTAATGTAGAGAAAATTGACCAATTATTATTAACATTAATGAAATTAAAATTGAATCTTGTTAATGAAGATTTAGCTGTTAGGTTTAACATTTCTGCCAAAACAGTCGCTAATATTTTTTACACATGGTTAATTGCTTTACACGAAATATTATATAAAAAGATAATGAATAAAATTCCTAGTAGAAATCAAAATAAATTATGTATGCCAACATGTTTTAACAATTTCACCAACTGTAGAATTATTTTGGATTGTACAGAAATTTATTGTAACCAACCAAAAAAAATGGATAAACAAAAACTTATGTACAGTTCATATAAGCACAGAAATACATTGAAAGGCTTGATTGGAGTTGCTCCGAACGGTGTTGTGACCTATGTGAGTAAATTATATCCTGGCTCAGTATCCGATAAAAAAATTGTGAAAGATTGTGGTATTTTAGACCAGTTAGTACCAGGTGACCTAGTTATTGCTGACAAAGGTTTTTTAATTTCAGATTTACTTCCTTCAGGTGTAAGTTTAAATATACCACCTTTTTTAACAACTAGTCAGTTTACTCCTCAGCAAATAGTACAAACTCGAACAATTGCTAGGGCTAGAATTCATGTCGAACGTGCTATAAGGCGTATTAAATGCTATAAAATATTAAATTTAATACCTTCTAGTCTAGTACCCCATGCTTCAATGGTCTATCAGGTCTGTGCTGCTTTAACAAATTGTCAATTTCCTTTAATACGGGAAGTTGAGGATTTGTATAGCAAAACGGATGATTAATTTGTTTTTTAGGTACAACTTTTATTGTTTCTAAGTTGTAATTTTATCTTAATATGCTAGGTTAAGTTTTTTAATTTTTAAATAAATGTGTATTAGGTGTATATTATTTGAAAGGTCCTGGGACACTTTTCTTTTTACTCTATACATCAGACTTATATACGCATTTCAATATATTTATTGCTGTTCAATTATTATTTATAGACTTTCATGTAAATGATTGTGAAAATGCAGTTAACTTAATAAATGAAGACCCAAGTCAAATTAATTATTATTTGTTTAAATCATAACTTCCATATTAATGTCCCAGCAAGTCTAAATTGTAAATATTTTCCAACAATAATTATAAGGATTTTGTTTTTGTAAAGTAATTTTAAGTATATCAGGTAAAATAATTCCACAAGAATGAGAAGCAAAAAACTTGTGACTTTATTCTGATATCGTTTTTGTACATTTAATATATATTTTTATTAAAACATATGCTGTATTGGTGGTTAGATGTAAGAATAACTTCGGCTAAATCTCTGTACAAATAAAGGCCTTTTATTATTATAATTATTATTAATAAATTTGTAAAATCAATGGCTGACTGATTTTTAATTATTTTATATTCTAATGAAGCTTATGTAATTATTGAAAATTAAATATATGAATAATTTGGTAATATGAATTTAACAAAATATTTTAAGAAATAAAAAATACAAACATCTATTTTTATTATTTATTACCACATAAAAAAGGAACATAATTATCAACATAAAATGTTTTTAATAACTGAAGATTGTTTCCCCATTCTTCTTCTATAGGAACATCGTATATTAATGATTCTGCTGGGGTCCAGATGACGAGATAACACACCCTCCTTTTAGTTAGATACAAATTCCCCTGGATTTGTTCATAATAATCGTGAGCTTTGTTTAGTACAATTTCATTTTTTTCGTTAAAAAATAAAATGTAATTTGAATCCCTTAAATCCTCCAAAAGGGATGCTGATGCTCTCAGTTTATATGGGCATTTAATTTCAATGATGGAGTCATCTTTGTATAATCCATCTGGACTACCTCCAATGAAACCGCATTTATCAAGCCATAACCCTGTAAGCTCGACATTGGCATTTTTGTTTTTCTCAAAAACCACTACTCCATCCGATTCATGCTGTTTTCCCCACTGAATCGCTTTTATCCCATCCAATGTGTAGCTTTCTAAAAATAAAAACAAAATTAACGAAGTCTTCAACTGTTTACATCTGAATATAGGGTATTAATTTTCATTGTTACAAATTTGTAATTTTTTTAATAATAATAATAATGAGTTAATTGAATGCCTGTCTAAAGTTCTATTAATATATAGTTTATTAGTAGCAGTAGTAGTATTTGACAAATAAATAAAATTACTTGCAGTATTAGATTAAAAATCATATTAATTTCTAGATATATATGCAAAAGTTAGTGTATTTTTAATCCCTTGCATACATAGGCTATACATTTGTAACAAGTATTCTGTAAACTGTATAGCAACAATTATAACAGCAGTATTATTAATAAATTAAATACCTGTTAATCTTTTAAATAGGGATGGAGGAAATCGGTTCCGTTTAATGGCAGACAGAATGACTCCAAAATTGCTTGATGTCAAACGATTTTTTCTGGCTATAAGCCACGTTTCATTGGATGACTGTCCTATGGTCTTCTGGCATATTTCTTTGATTTTTTCATCAGACAACTTTAAAGTTGTCTCCAAAAATGAGAGTTTACTAGTTGCCTGAAGATATTCATTGGAGAATACAATTTCTTCAATATCAACAATTTGATTAAACATTGTAGGTTCGTCTCTCAATAGCCAAGTAAATCCGACAGCATTTTTGAACATACCCAGACTTGTTTTAAATTCTTCAAGTGCTTCAGTGCTTATAGTCCCACTTGTTGATTGGTGATTCCTTGTAGGGTATAACTCGTCAATAGTTTTGACCTCATCATTACTGGCTTTCTTTGAATTCCAAGAGCAAGTAACATCAGTTACTGAAACATTATTGTATGCAAATAGTGCCAGTGCTGCCATATGATGGCAGATCAATTGTCCTCTTGGGCATGTACAACTAGCTTCTTCTATCCCATGGTCTTTATCAAGTTTTATCTATAAATTTATATTAAAATAATTAGATTTAATACATTCAAAATTCATATTGTTACACTCACCTCAACATTATAAATTCGATCTCTCATGCTTGCATGAATACCTCCACGAATTATTAGAAGTGGTCCATCAAATGTCATATTTTTAACATGGTTGGATTCCACTGCATTCTCCCCACGGTTGACGAGTTTGGGTTCC